GTTAACACCTTTGACAGCAAGTAGGATCCTTATGGCACAGTTACCCCCATTTTGCTTCTCAGCCCCAGTGCCCCCCCACCTTCCTTCCACCACCAGCGTGGACCGCAGTGGACATTTGCGTGGCCCTGAGACCCAGCCCAGGGACCAGCGCCTCTTAGATGTTCAACTCATGCTTGTTAAAGTGGAACATTTGTTTTGCTTTGGTTCTGGTTCTTTGTTGGCTGTAGTGGATGTATTTGTGTCCTACGCAAATAACACAACTGAAGCCATGTCTGGAATCGCTATGCCGGGAGGCACTGTTGCTGACCTGCCCGTTTAACTCTTCCAACTCTGTCGAGTGGTTTGTTAATCTTAGACTTTGGACTGCAGACTGAACCGATTAGCCACAGCTGGAGGGAAAATTAAAAAGCAATTACCAAAATTATCTTCGTCTAATGTTCTTGGTGAAGGAAAGCCTGTTGCATTCCAAGAAGGGAATCTTTTGCCCAACTTAGTTTCTGGTTCAAGGATTCATACTCAGCAAAATCCTAATTCTTCTCTGCACTTGGAAAAAAAAAATTCCTTTTTTTTCCTTTCCTTCTGGACTATATGACTACAAAAGTGACAGTTATCCTAGACTACCATTGTCTGGTAGAAATGTAATCTGAGCCACAAATGTGAGCCACATATGTAATTTAAAATTTTGGGTGTCCACATTTAAAAATATGAAAAGCAACAACTGACATTAATTTTAATCATATATTATTACACTGAAAATATTCTGCACCTGATTCTAGTGTGGGTGACATGGGTCAGAAGTTGCCCACACCGACACGCAGTTGTCAGACACCAGCAGGGTATCTGAGAATCCGACTCTGGCTCCAGGAGATAACGTCAGATCCCAGAGGACCTCCTTCCACTTCAGATGTGGATCCCCAGCCCAGGTCATCGCCTGGAGCATAGGTCCGGATTGGAGGTTCCCATGAACCCCCTCCTTGGGTTTTGATTAATTTGCTAGAGCAGCTCACAGAACTCAGGAAGTCCATTTGCTTATTGGGTTACCAGCTTATATTAAAAGGATGTAACTCAGAAACAGCCAGATGGAAGAGATCTGGAGGGCAAGGTGTGCGGCAAGGGTGTGGAGATTCCATGCCCTCCCCTGGTGTGGTGTGTTGCTTTCCCCAAATCTCCATGTGTTCACCAACATGGACACACTCTGAACCCCATTCTTTTGGGGTTTTATAAGGCTTCATAATACAGGCATGGTGGTTTAAATCCTTGCGGAGGGCTTCCATCTCCCACTCCTCTTTCCTCCCTGATCAGGGATGGGGCTAAAAGCCTCAACCCTCTAATCAGTGGGTTGGCTCCCCTGGCAACCAACCCCTTTCCCTATTGGTCCTCCAAATTCGCCTCATTAACATAACAAAAGGCACCTGTATGGCTCTCTTGGGAATGACCAAGGGTTTTAGGAGCTCTGAGCCAGACAGGGGACAAGGACCAAACATATATATTTACGATAAAATCACACTATCGTAATATTCAACCGAAGACATCCAACCGTTGTCATTTTAGCGTGCGGTCCATGTAAACCTCTGGTCATGTGATATTTTATATTCTTTTTTGAACTGAGTCTGTGAAATCCCGAGTGTATTTTACTCCTACAGCGTATTTCAGTCCAGCCGTAAATGGTGACCCTTTTGGACAGCACAGTGCCGGCTAGCGAGCCTTCACAGAGCTTTTCCTGGGTGCCAGGTGCTTTCCCTGTGCCCTGTCAATTAATTCCCACATCCCTGCCTTTGATGCTATTGGGCTCTTTTCACAGAGGAGCAAACAGACTTACGGAGCTTGGGTTATTTGCCCAAGGACAGCGAGTGGGTGTGGTTGCGCTGGGCCTGGGCCCCAGAGTGGGACTTGGAAATCGTGTGCCGAGCTGCACTGAAAGCACCACCAGAGGCAGTGGGGCAGATTCTGAAGCGTTTACGAGAGGATATTGAAGATTAGACACAGGGCTGGGAGCTGCTTAACAGCAGGTCACAAGGTGTCTGGAAACATGTTTGGAAGAAGGAAACTTTTTTTTTTTTTTGAGGAAGAGGAAATATTTGAAACCAAAACGTTGGGGGAAGGAGCACTCTTACTTTACCCACTAGGGCACCACCACCAGATCCCTTGTAGTTCCCATCTCTCCCTGCCAGGATGTCTGTTGGGCAACCAATGGCTTGCCACATACTTGGAACAGAGGCTTCCCCTCCTTGCACTTGGAGCTCCCATCTGCGATGAGAAGGCTGGGTAAAAGCACGCGCTGCGGGGACTGCCATGCATTAAGGCAGGAGTCTCTGAACAGCCCTGATGCCGTGGCTTTGTTATAAAGGTCTGCGAAGTATTATCCTGCTGTCGTGGATTATACAATGTGCACAGATGGCAGTTCCCTCCTCTTCCTTCCCATGGTGTTAAAAATGAGTAAAATATGTTTCCCATTGCACTTCCCTTGTGCTTGGGGACTCAATGAACTCATTTTAAGTTTCCACATCTTTAAAAAAATGTTTTGTTTTTACTGAAATATGTTTCTGATCAGGAACATAACTTCAAGATCGCGTGTGTGTTCCTGAACCCAGTATGTATCAGGAGCAAGTGCATGGAGGAGGGTTCGGGCTCTGGTGTCAGATCCCGGGACTGGGCGTTCTGGAGTCGAAGCGCAGCCTTACCACCGACTTGGTAGATGATCTCAAGAGAAGGAACCAGCCTCTGCCCTGACTGATAATCTCTTGTTCTCTTGTTCTGTTGCTCTCTCATGTTTGAAGGACTGAAACACAATTGACCAATTTCAATAATTTTCATGAAACAACATGGAAGAAATTCAACTCTTAAGTTCTTGGGATTTTGTAAACCTTGGGCAGGCTCTACAAGGGCATTAATTCTTTAGGATAATTTGAATGTGTGGCTCATTGTTTCACATACATTACCTGAATATTGACCTATACAGTCTTGCTTACCAGCCCTCACTCTGCACCATAAACTCTGTGAGGCAGGTAGAAGATACAATCCCGCAGTACAGTCTGTGCCAGCACTAACAACAGTAAGAACTTGTATTGTGAACTGCTTTACCCGCATCTCATTTAATCGGGATGGAGGAGAGGGAGGTGTGGTCTCCGTGTTATGAACGAGACCGCCAGCTTGCCCGAAGCAGCTGAGCCTCCGCTTGAATCCAGGTGAGTCTAATCCCACTGGTGCTTGTAACCAGTAGGCTGTCCACTGCCACGAGTAAGAAGCTATTACAGTCCTGAGCCGGATTTATAGGACTGGTTCTCGGTAGTATTATAACGAAGGGCCAGAACTCTCAGCTCTCATGGCAGGAAGTTCACTGCTGAGTTACAACTTCTACACATCCGTGGTGCTTCAGGAAAAGAAAAACCAAATTGGTAAACATGGCTCATCCTTGCTTTAATCTTTCTCTAGCTTTAAAAAAAAAAAAAAGATTTTATTTATTTATTTGGCAGACAGAGATCACAAGTAGGCAGAGAGGCAGGCAGAGAGGGAGGAGGAAGCAGGCTCCCCGCTGAGCAGAGAGCCCGATGCAGGGCTCGATCCCAGGACCCTGAGATCATGACCTGAGCTGAAGGCAAAGGCTTAACCCACTGAGCCACCCAGGCGCCCCAAATCTTTCTCTAGCTATAAATTTACTCCTGTTATCTTTTTTTTGCTTGTCTGTCTAGCTGAGATGAGACTCACATAGCACAAAGGTAACCATCTCTAAGCGGACAGTCCGCAGCGTTTGGTACCTTCGAACTGTTATACAACCACCACTAATTTCGAAATAGCTCCTTAATTCCAGAATGAAGCACACCCTCCCCCCGTAAGAGTTTCCTCCCCGTCTGCTTGCCTCCAGTCCCGGGAAAACAGCACCGTGCGTTCCGTCTCTATGGCTTTACTGGCTCTGACTATTCCATGTCAGTGGAATCACGCAGTCTGTGAACTTCTGTGTCTGGGTCTTTCATTTAACATGATGTTGTCAAGGTCCCCCCACGTTCTAGCATGTGTCAGTCCTTCATTACTTTTTATGGATAAATAATATAAATATATAATATTATATATAAATATACATATATGTTATATATATTGACTTTATGGATAAATAAGTGTCCCCCGCAAGGACACGGTGCCGCCGTCCAGCCGCCCCTGGGGGGGGGCACTTGCTCGCGCCCTTCACTTGGGCTGTTGTGACCGTGTCCTGCAGGGAAGCCTTCACATGCACTTGGCTGAGTATCTGTTTTCCTTTCTTTGGGCTACAGAGGAGTAGCATCGTGGGGTCATATTGTATTTCTGTGTTTGACTTTTGGAGGACCTGCCAGATGTTTCCACACCCGCGGAAGCATTTTACCTCCCAGCCAGCAATGTAGAAGTGTTCCTCTTCTGCCACATCCTCGCTAGCACTTACTTTGGTTCTGATTACCAAAGCCCGGCGGGCGCACGTCACATGGTACCACAGTGTGGTTTTGACTTATGTTCCCCAGTGACTGTTAATGTGGAGCGTCTCCTCATGTGCATATTGGCCCTTTATAGATCTTCTGTAGAGAAGTGTCTGCTTGGTGCTTTGCCCATTTTTCATTGGTGTCTTTGGCCTTTGTGTTGAGTTGTACGAGTCAGTTGTATGCTCTGGGTGCCACAGCTTATCAGGTGTACGATTTGAAAATATTTTCTTCCTCCCCTAGGTTGGACAGACTTTCTTGGCAATGTCCTTTGATGCACGAAAGTTCGTTAATCATGATGAAATCCGACTTACCCATCTTCTCAATTTATTTATTTTCCCTTTGCAGCTCATATTTTGGGTGTCATTATCTAAGAATCCGTCACCAAATCTAAGACCCTGAAGATTTTACTTGTATGTTTTCATCTAAGAATGTAATGACTCTAGCTCTGTATTTAGGTCATTCATTCATTTTGAGTTACGTTTTGTATGTGGTGTTAGGTGTTAGGTAGGGGTCCTGTTTACTCCTGTTAATTCTTTTTTTTTTTCCCCTCCCTAGGAACCCTTGGAAGCAAGGGACTGCACATTTTTAACCTGACTTCTCTAACCAAGTCTGAAAACGTTTTATCTGCCACCCTGCACTTCTATGCCGGGGAGCTAATAAACGTGACCTTGAGCTGTCCCGTGTCCCGAGGATGCGCACAGCAGGCCCAGGGGAAACACTTGCAGGTTGATCTCTCTGCGTGGATCCTTAAATCCGACAGAAACCAAAGTCAGCTCCTGGGTCATCTTTCAGTAGACGTCGCCAAATCTCGAGATTTGGGCTCCTGGCTGTCTAAAGACATCACTCAAGTCCTGAGGAAGGCCAAGGACAATGAGGAGTTCCTCATAGGATTTAACCTTACCTCCAAAGGACACCCACTGCCAAAGAAGATGTCGCCCTTCCCTGAGCCTTACATCTTGGTGTATGCAAACGATGTCGCCATTTCTGAGCCAGAGAGTGTGGTCTCAAGCTTACAAGGACGCCGTAATTTCCCCACCAGAGCCCTGCCTCCGCTGGATAGCCATATCAGGGCTGCCCTTTCCATGGAACGGAGGAAGAAGCGCTCGGCTGGGGTCCTGCTTCCTCTGCAGAACAATGAGCTTCCTGGGGCCGAGTACCAGTACAGGGAGGATGGGGTATGGGAGGAGAGAAAACCTTACAAGACCCTTCAGACTCAGGCCCCAGAGAAGACTAAAAACAAGAAGAAACAGAGAAAGGGACCTCACCAGAAGAGCCAGACGCTCCAGTTTGATGAGCAGACCCTGAAGAAGGCCAGAAGGAAGCAATGGATCGAGCCTCGGAATTGTGCCCGGCGGTACCTGAAGGTGGACTTTGCGGACATCGGCTGGAGCGAGTGGATCATCTCCCCCAAGTCCTTTGATGCCTATTACTGCTCCGGAGCCTGCCAGTTCCCCATGCCCAAGGTAGCCCTCGCTCTCTGTCCTGTCCTTGCTGCTTGGGTAGAGTAGAGAGACGCTGACGGGACGTGTGCTTTCATTTACAAACCCGTCTGGACGCTCACTGATTGCATCCCAGCACGCACGGGGCAGTCGTGGTCAGGCTTGGTTTTTTCCTCAATGGTTGTTACCGTAACACGAAGTCAGTACTGGTATGAAGAAGGATACGAGGGAAAACGTATGTGTGAAATGTGCTTTTCGTGTGCTTCCAAACACGGCGTGTGTTGAGGGATGTGGCGTGGTCAGCCCTGTGCGGCTCGGCGTCCGCAGTCACAAGCCCCAAGGGACAGAAGGCTGGTCTGGGAGGGGATGGTTAGGGAAGGACTAGATGTCGTGGGAAGAGGGATGGGGAAGGACTAGTTCGAGTGATGCCCCCGCAGGGTACTTCTTGACGAGTGGTCTCTTGTGGGATGAGCTGACCCCACCAGGGTCGGGATCAAGGCCGGGCCGGGGACTCACCCCATGAAACCCACCAGGTGTGTGTTTCGTCTGCATCCTTAGTAAACACCAGAAAAGGAAGGCAAAGGAGGGTGTTTTGACCCTGTAAGTTTCTTCCAAAACTTACTGCAACCAGTCAGAGCTTACCTGTGTCTCTTCCAAAGTCAGCAGAGACGACTTTATCCCACCAGTCCTCAGTACCCTAAACCTTTACCCTCAGAGGCTTCCCCAGTCCCGCCTCGGCCTGCACAGCACATCCCAGCGACTCTTCTGTCTTTGGATCTAAAGTTAGGAAGAGACAGTGGTGCCTTCTGGCCTTCAGTCAAGCTTATCTTCGAAATTCTATTCTTGGCTTCCAATAGTATGAATCTCTGACATACAGTGAAATGAGGCTGTAGGAACAGAATTTGGAGAAAGAATAGAGTTAGGTTTGTTGTTGTTGTTGTTGTTTTTCAATTTTTGCTGCTATATAATAATGGAGGAAAAAATTCTTTGCCTCCAAGAGGGAAGAGCTTCTGCTTATAGTTGTTTAACGTTTCCTGCTCTCGTGCTGCTAGTCCCATGGTCACTGGGCTGTTAAATGGGCACATGCAGAAGGTCTGGTTGAACAAGGCCAGGCGTCAGCCTCAGGGCAAGGAACTTGACTGAAATCCCCGTTTTCTTATTAGAATACCCCAGAAGGACAAGTTTTCTACATCTAAGACTTGTCTTTCCCGAGGATTTTTGCTGATTCCGTGTTTCGTAAATCTAAACACTAAGTAAGGATTATGTACATTTACTATGATATAAACAGCCTTATTTTCTCTAAATATTCATAAAGACTGCATCACTGATCAAATAAAACTCGTTCCAACTAGGGAAGCATTTAAAAACACACCACAAGGACGCAGAATGTAACAGTGATGAATTTTTACAGTGTGGGTTGCTTCACAGCATTGAGAGATGGAACGAATTCAAATCCGTCTTTAAACTCAGGATGACTGAGTTTTCCAAATAATCTCTCACACTCGTACACTGCAACTTCTTCTATGTAGCCTGGGGAAGGAGTTTTCCATCCTGACTCCAGATTTTCCTTCCTGAGCCAGGGAGCCCTGACCATGTGGAGCTCTTCACTGAGTTTTCAACTCCTCCCTCCGGAGACCTGGTCCCGTCGCCACTCCACAACAGTGACCCCCACTTGCCCGCCTTCTCATGTTGGTTACACCTGCCTTGACGTTCAGAATCCTGCTGTTGCTTCAGTAGATCTTCCTGATGGTTCTCCATGATCCAAAGCATAATTATTTAGAAGCTTATGAGGGATAAGTTAAGAGTAACAGATGGGTTTGAGTGTGTCAGTGCAGTGGAATGACTACATGTACAGGCTCCTCGCTGGGCTGCTTAACCTTAATGTGGCTACAGCTTGCCTGGGGCTGTGTCGGTTCTGATCCAGTGGTTCTGAGCATAGAGCCTAAGAATCTGCATTTTTAGTAGAGCTCCTGACAGTTGCTGATGCCGCTGGGCCACAGCCCTCTTCAGGTAGCCTCATTGAGAACTAAATCCTTTGCCTAAAATCTTGGCTCTACCTCTTACCAGTTATGGTTTTTGGGAGGAGTTATTCATATTCTACATAGTTGACCCTTGAACAACATGGGGGGTGGGGCCCTGATGCCCTGAGTGGTCGGAAATCCACGGAATACTTTTGATCCATAACGTAACGACTAACAGCCCACTGTTGATTGGAGACCTTATCAATAGCACCAACAGTAGATTAACATATATTTCCTATGTTGTATGTACTCTGTACTGGATTCTTAGCAATAAAGTAAGCTAGAAAAATGAAAATGCTTAGAAAAACTAAACATGAGAAAACACATTTACGATACTGGATTTATAAAAAAAAAAATTCTCATGTAAGTGGACCCGTGCAGTTCAAGCTCACGTTGTTTAAGGGGCAACTGTGTGTTAGTTTTCTCGTCTTTGAAATGGGTACAACGGTACATAAAAACAATCGTATCTACGTAATGACGACCGTGGGGAAATGAAGCAGCTTGCACGTGGTAGGCTCTCGGTAGGTATCTGCCGTTGGTATCACCGGCGATGTCACCGTCGACCCTGCGGAGAACAGAACATTAGATACCGGGGCTGAAGAAAGACCACACAAGAGAATAAAAGATGTTAAGACAAGAAAAAGCTTCTTAATCGTTTCTAGCCCCTTTTCGACACCACAAAGCCTAAAATAGGATTCTCCCTGCAGGCGCGACAGCCTGTACGCTCCTCCAGGAACAGCCCTTGGGGAGTCGCAGAGCTCAGGGCCGCAGCGGTTCCGCGATGAACTCGTCGTGCTGTTCGTCCACACTCGGAGCTCCAGGGGCGCGGCGGGGCGGCGCTCGCTCTCTGAGCTCGAGGACCCGCTTTGCCGGCGGAGCGCGGGAGCGCGGCTGCTCCGCCTCTGGTCGCGCGTACGGGTCTGCTTCGCTGGGAGGCTGCGGGGCGGCCTTTCGGGCTTCCAGGCTCCGCGGCTCCCCGGTGCACAGGAGCCCGAGGCCGGGAGGCGGGACCCGCGGGAGCGGCTGCAGTGGGCGGTGACTGATACACGCGTCTGTCGCGGCCTCCGGCAGGGCCGCCCGAGCAAGCGGTCGGAGAAAAGGGGTCCGCGCCGCCGGGCAGCACGAGGTCTCTGAGCGGACCCGGAGGCGCCGTGTGCATCCCGGAGGCGCCCAGGGACTCTCGGGCGGCGCGCGTTTTGCCGCAGAGCGCGGTCTCCCAGGCCAGCCTCCTCTGCGGGCCCCGCTTGGGCCTCCGGAGCGACGCCGCTGGCTCTCCACGGCCGCGCCCGCGCCTGCGGAGGGCGACAGCCTGCGTGACTCGGGACGGCTGTGCTCGGCCTTTCCCAGCGCCGGGCTTTGCGCTCTCACTGATCCCCACTAGATGCTTTCTGGGCGGTCACCGGATGCGGGCTGGGCCGGAGGCGCGCGGAGCCGAACCCCACGGCCCGGTGCGGACGCGGGGCTCCCGGCGGAGGACGCGGGGCTCCCGGCGGAGGACGCGGTCCCCTCGCTGGCGCGTTCGGAACCAGACTGAACCCGCGGCCCTGGTGCGCGGCTCGGCAGGTGCCGGCCGGGCCACGGCAGGTCTCACTCCCAGGCGCGGCCGCGGGGATTTCGCGGGTTTCCAGCGCCCACAGCCGATCTGGGCGGCCGGCGAGGCCGCAGGAATCCCGCGCGACACGAAAGACACCCGCAGAGCTCCAGCCCGCCGCACGCCTTGGCGTCCCTCGCCGGCGCCGCGGAGACGGGACACGAGCCTGCGGGTGGCGCGCGTGGCTGAGCCGCTGCGGCTGACCGAGGCGCGGAGAAGCGGCAGGGCCGGAGGAACGGAGCTGGTTTTGCGGGGACGGCACGAACGCTGACCACAGCCGAGACACACGGTGAGGCGGCGAAGGATCTAAACACCTGGACCCAAACAGCCCCTGGAAAGAAGAAACTCACATTTAATGAGTTCGGAATGATACACCCTCAGTTTCCTGAGTTTCCAGTTCCAACCTTGGGTCCTGAAAACAATGACCCAAAAATCCTCAACCTTGATGTACCAAGTTATCCAAGCCCAACTTCCCTAGACTGATGTGAAAGTCATGTTTTACTCTCATTAAAAACAGAGACAAGGCAGAGGGACGCCTGGGGGGCTCAGTTAAGCGTCTGCCTTCAGCTCAGGTCATGATCCCAGGGTTGTGGGATCGAGTCCCACGTGGGGTTCCTTGCCCAGGGAGCCTGCTTCTCCCTCTCTGCCTGCCGCTCCCCTGCTTGTGCTTGCTTGCTTTCTCTGACAAATAAATAAATAAATAAATGAAATAATCTTAAAAAAAAAAGCAGAGACTAGGGAGAGAGAGAACACAGATTGACAGATTTCTTAAGCTATGCAAAGAGAGTTATGAGAAGGATGCTCTGAACTAAAAAAAACAAACATTATAGACTGGCAACCTGTTTCAGAAAAACAATTACTGCATGGATCTTTTGTGCATGACGTAATGATTCCCAGTAAAGGCAGCTTGATCAGAGGATTCTGTAGTGAAGAAACATGGGGGAAACTCCCTAGCAAATTGAAGGTTCCTGATAAGACACGCCAACCCGGAATCAAGAGCCTGTGCCTACATTCCAGCGAGTCCACCAGAGACTGCTCATAGTTTCTGAATCTATGATTTGTGAGTTAGAGCTTAAAAAAAAAAAAAAAAAAAAAAAAAAGGACAGGAATTTTCCTAGGAAACACCCATGAATATTTTCCGTATCTACTCTGGGTCATTTGCACAGAACCTCTTATTTTTGTTGATGGGAATGATTTCCACAGTAATAGGTAAAATGGAGAGCATGTTATTTCTTGTAAGTATTTTGTCCATTTAGCAAGTACTTTTTCAGTGTCCAGAGCACGCTGTGTTCCAGGCCCCAGAGACCAGAAACACACAGCAGTTTTGATCAGTCGAGACCCCTTCTGCTTAAATAGATCCACTTCATATGAAATTTAAATATTACAAGTGTCATTAAAACACTAAGAATAACAGAATAATGATGTCAGAAAATCTGCGGTTTAAAGAAACTCTTTGGGGCGTTATCATAGTCTGTTTGGATCGCTGAGTCTTAAGAATAAATCAGTAGAGAAAAGTGGATGGCTGCAAAATTTTCTTTGGAAATTACCAGTACCGATGAAATCACAAACAGTGGCTACGGGTCTCTCTGGTACAATAGTTACAGTTTGTGCCAGTTACACAGTTTACGGATGTGCCAGACACATGACATGCGATATCGGACATAGACTTCCTTTCCTCAAAGGGAGCATACTTTGCTTTGCAAAGCAAATTGAAAGTTAATAATCCTTTCCAGCACATACTTAAAGTTTCTAGGAAGAAAGAGGAAAACAGAAACCAGTTGCCCACCATTCAGACCATATTGTAAATAATTTATGGCCATTCACAGTAAAGTTAAAGTCTCATATATGGATAATTTCTTTCATTAAAGTTGAAAGATGGGGTGAGACAAATCGGACTTGCCCTTTCTCTGCCAAAAATAATCCTTTTTCGTTTCTTTTCTTCTTCTTTTTTTAGTAGTATGCCAGCTTTCTGTGTTATTTCCTTCTCCCTTGGTTTGTATGTGCCTTAACCTATTGAAGTTGTCATATGGGAGTTTTTAGGAGGTTGAAATTAAAACACCAACTCAGAGGTCCCTCTCAGCCATGAGAAATATGGCTCGAAGTCTTGAAATTAAAAACCCAGAGTTTTGGCTGAAAGCCCACTTCTGAATTGACATGTGATCTCTGGCAAGTTGCCCAATTTCTGTTTCTAGATGTATGTAAGACAACACTGGGTTCACCTGCCTAAAAGAGACGTTGGGGAACACGGATGCGGTGCGGCGGGCGTCCGTCCTGTGGTCTGCAGCGCTCTGACAACACCTGCATGTCCTGGGCTTGGACGGGGCTGTCCTTCAGGGCATAGCAGAGCCTGATGGAGCCAAGTGACAGTCACCTGTGTCACGTGGGTGTCAGGGGTTCCACTCGGCATCTTCCCAGGAGAGGACTTCACCAGGCACCTTTGGTCCAACTTCCGATACCCATGGAATAACCTCGGGCTCCCTGTTCCCAGAGGATTTGGACCCCCATGAAACTCATTTCCACACGGCCGCCTGGAGTCGGAACCCATGGAGCGACAGTGACCCCCAGTGGCCAGCGGGGCGGTCGTCTTCACCTCTGTGCTTCTGCCAGGTCAATCATCACAGCACAGAGCGATTACCATCCAGTGCATCCTGGCAAACGGATCAATGTTCCTTGATGCTTGGTTTTATTTTAACAGCGAAGTGTCAAACCCTGTAGCGGGGGCGATCATATATCTATGGGAAGCGTAGACTCTAGAACGAATGGGGCGTTTTGCAACCCTGTTGTTGAAGACATCCGAAAAAAAACCCCGTGTGGGGACCAGGTTGTGTTTAATTAAGTGACTCTGGTTTAGGTAACTGGATTCAAATCCTCACTCTGTCACTTCCGAGCTAGTCGACTTTGGACATGTCATTTGAGTTTTCGAGACTATTTCTTTACTTGAAAAATATAAACACTGGTAGTTGTGGTTGTAAGGGCGTGATAGCAGGTCACACACAGCTGGCGCGTATATATACACACATAGCCGGCGTGATGGATGTGTGTATCGGTGTACGACAACCGTCGTGGTGGGGGTGGATCCGAGCTTGCACTGAACGGGCAACAGTGCCAGAGCGTCAGGGACGTGTTGAGGCGCGTCTGCTGCCGGTGCCGGTGAGCTCAGGTGATGAGCAGTGAATGGTGGAAAAGCAGCTCCCGCTAACCTCCATGTTCTTCTCCCATTTCTTTTCCAGTCTTTGAAGCCATCAAATCACGCCACCATCCAGAGCATAGTGCGAGCGGTGGGGGTCGTGCCCGGAATTCCCGAGCCTTGCTGTGTGCCTGAGAAGATGTCCTCGCTCAGCATCTTATTCTTTGATGAAAATAAGAACGTGGTACTGAAAGTGTATCCTAACATGACGGTAGAGTCTTGTGCTTGCAGATAACCTGGCAGAGAACGCGTACGAATGCTTAATTCTATCAGTACTTTATTTAATGGACTCCCCCCTCCTTTTTTTTTTTTTTTGCACTGCCAATGCATTTCACCCCAAAAGATCTTTTTATAGTCAAAGAGAATGAGCAAATAGACTGATGATTCCCACCAAGGAGAACGGACTGTGCTTGTTTCTGAATGTAACTCAACGCAAGATTTTAGTAAATATGGACATATACTTCTTTTTAAAAAAAAAATCACAAAAAAGATCACTCAAACTGTTTTTAGAGCTATTAGAGGACACACTGATTTATTTTTGTAATGGGCTTTGAAAATAGGTTGGGAAAACACCAGTAGCTTTTCACTTATCTCTAAGTAGGCTTACTGCCCTAGATTCTTGAGCGACTCAGCGAGTGCTGAATTATCCAATCAACGTTTATGTTTATCTTAGAAATGTTTAAGACTCTTGTTTGCCGGCGTTTGTCCTCCATGTGTCCTTGTGTGAACGGATGACGGAGAGTGTGTGCTGAGTGTGGGTGTAAGGATGCGGGTGCGTTCCAGCTGCCCTGGCCCTTCTGTAGGAAGTTTTGCTTCGCATGGTTTTATAATTCGGTCTACACGGGATTTTTTGTTTTTTTTCCTTTCACGTTCTGGCAAGCACCATTCAATTATGAGAACTTTACCAAGAAGGAGAGAGTGATCCAAGAGCATAAGCAGCGTGTTACCCCTTGGCCCGGCCCTTCAGTTTGAAATACACTTATTTTCATTTCATTGTCTCCGAGAAAAGGGAAGCAGCAACCCAATTTTCAGAAACCCAGGGGGAGTTCCCCTTCTGCACTCCTTTGTCACAAGTACCTTCATTTGTTCTTTTAAACTGAATTCAAAAATTCAACTGAGGGGCGCCCGGGTGGCTCAATTTTTGAGCGTCTGCCTTCGGCTCAGGTCGTGATCCCGGGGTCCTGGGATTGAGCCCCGAGTCAGGGTCCCTGCTCGGCGTGAAGCCTGCTTCTCCCTCTCCCACTCCCTCTGCTTGTGTTCCTTCTCTCACTCTCTCTCTGTCAGGTAAAAAATAAAATCTTTAAAAAAACAAAAAAACAAAAATTCAACTGAATTTTTAAAATTTGATTAAAATTGTACTTCTCTGGATATGCCTTGACTTCCTGTGAAGTAATCCATAGATACCAAGGCTTGAGAACAGATGGAACATTGGAGATTTCCTTAAATGAATGAATCACAGTCACATGTGGGATGTCGTTCTTCAGCCACATCCAGGTCGAGGCACCTTTTCAGGTGGATCAAGGCTCAGCCTTGAAGTCAGTAGGTTAGCAGACTCACTAAAAATTATTCACCAAAAAGAAGGAAGTCAAATACAGACACTTTGTTTTTCTCCCCACTTCCGTTTGTCATAAATATCCTCTCATACTTTGCCATTGAAAACTTGTTTCAAAAATCTCTCCCGCTACATTCCGTGTGTGACAAAAACGTTTTCAGACCCTGGGCTGGTGAGGATGTCACGCCTGTGGTTCACCGTCCTCTTAGTCGAGTCTCACCTGATTAGAGACAACTAAGCCGTCTCCGAGACCATGAACTCTCAGAAGACGTGCCTTTTTCTCTCTCTACCTGTAGCTCCCGATCTTGGCTTATCATTTAATGAATATTTACTGAGCATTTATTTTGTAAGAGCACTGTGTTAGCTGTGTGTCCTCAGCATCCTCACAGTGCAGTGAAGAGGTTGACGAGTTGAGCTAGAAGCCCTTTCTGATACTCCGCGTTGGGGCGTGTGACACGGGCTGTTTCATACACATCTTCCTCGAATGGATGACACCGGCAGATACAACACTGCCGGGCTCTGCTCATAAACCAAAGGCAAGAACGTGCTCCTCTTCAGCGTTTGGGAGGGAGTATGGAGATCTCTGTGGTTTCAGTCGTATTTCTAACTTTCTAACTTATTAGAAATCCATTCAAAGGTTACCACGAACAGAAGCTCTTTGACACTTTTGGAACACACAGAGGTCGGCGTGAGTTTCTATTAACTCCGTTAACTTCTGTTAACACCTGTTCTGAATAGTAAGTTAAGCTCTGGGGCCTGAGTTACTGTGATTTCTCCGAGTTCATTTTTTATTCTGGCTGCGCTATGTTAGATATTTGAAGTGAGACAGGTGATGGAATTACTTTTAATAAACTTTATCAGAAGGTTGAAAGCAAAATTATATAATAGAAGCGAGCCGGTATGTGGCTACCCTATTCTGGGCATCCCATCTTTCAATAAAGATTTCTTTTTCATTGGTAGAAATGATGAAATTCTATATTTAGTTTTTTCCTCTAGCAGTTCCCAGCATTACTTTTCAGCCTTCTTCCCTGATGTCTGTTTGTCATCTTTCTTCATTTTAATTGATGACCCCTTTTACAGATTAAATGCCATAATGGCCAGAAAAGCCTCTAAATAATAAAAATTTATGAGTATGAACTAAGTAAGATTTTATTTTAAGTAGCAGTTTATATAGCAAAATTACAACACAATTAAAGTGCATGGTAGTCTTTCAGTAATCAAAATATTTTTTTGACCACTAGTTATTTCTGGGTGGCCTTGTGACCATTATTTGACAACCACATTGAAGACATGTTATGCTATAAACAGGAAAAGTTTTATTCCCTCCAAAATAAAGGAAGATTTCTTTTTAGTCAAAGGGGTTGAAATAAATGATATTTTAACTAGTAAAAGTTTACTTGAAATAGTTGGAAAATTGAGTGACTATTTCACAATTTCTTAGGTACTAGTATATGTGTAATTTTTACATAGGCTTTTTACAAATCTCCTGGTATAAAAATGGCAATGGTGTGAGAAGAGAAATTATGTTTAGAAATGACATTTCTTAGATCATGCATCTGTCTGTCTCTCCTTCTTCTCTCTCTCTCCCGTTTCCCCCTTTTCTTTCCCAACCACCAGTGCACCCCCATTCCTAGATGTGACATGTGCACACACACACAGTCACTTAAAAAGTGAAATTTTTTTCAATAATTTTTCTTAAATTCATATTCAGGGGCTGCTGATGTCAATATAGTATTTTCAAAATATCTTACTATAAACAGTGTAGATAATATATAATTTACAGGATTTGGGATTGTGGAATTTAAACTGGAAGATTGGATTCCTCAAATCTCAGGAATACAATACTCCAGATACATTTTTACATTCACCTAGCTATATATTAACTGATGATCATTTATTCATTGAAAGAAGATTTTTTACTTTAATATTTCTGGAACAACTCTTGTCACCTGCTTAATATTTTTATAGACAATCATATGTGTATAGTACTATTACCACCCTGCACAAATTTTTTTTCTATAATTACATTATTTGGTTGAGTCTTTCTGCTTTCACTTTTCTCTGTGCTAACAAGTAACTAACATCTGGTTATTGACTTCTTTTTGAATCAAGGTTGGGTTAAAGAATAGCTATGCACATGTGATGTGTAAGATTAGATATAAAATTAAATAAGAAAGCTTGGATAAATCTGACTTCTCAGTATAGCTTTTTTTTTCCCCTGGAGAATCATATTTTAATGTAGTTTATAGGTGATTAAATGATCCCCCTTTTCTAAAAACCAAACCTTCCCTCAGCTTTTCACACTAGTTTCTGTAAATGTGTTAGTCCAGAATTTAATGCTTGTACAGTTGATGGCAATTTAAAATATATATATTATATATATACATATATATATATGGGAAAACTTTTAAGATGCTTTTAATTTATTTAATGACTGTTGCTTTTCTATAATGGTAATTTTCATCCTTAGATGGTGAGAAGAAATTCTTTTTACTATAGTTATTACATGCAAAGTGAAATTTGGTTCTTTAGTCAAATCTGCTAATGGGACATGTCGCAGTGAGACTGTGCAAGACATGTCACTACTGATGGATAAGCTTTGCTAACTTTGTATCATTTTCCTCCAGTAATGGAGAGCTTTTCATTATACAGTATGAAAATAAAAATTGCTTAATTGAACGCTTCCCCATTCTTTTCTATTATACTGTGCTGCTTTTGAAAAGAGGTTATAGAGGTTGGGCACAGAGTTGAACATTTTCACATGGTGTTATGAGTGGGGCGTTGTCACCCACTATCAACAAAGTATGGTTACATCGTGGAAAAAAACTGAAACACACCCAGAAGGAGGAAACTTGTCTTCCGAACTGGAGAAACTCCACTTGAATTCTTTTGTGTTTGTTTGGTTTTAACCACAAAGTCCCCATTTTCTTATTTGGAGATTTTTTTTAACCACAAAGCCCCCATTTCTTAATTGGAGATTTTTTTTTCCCCCCTCTGGGAGCCTGACTCCCTGTTTTGACAATAACATGACTTCACCACATATTGTTAGAGTATTCTAGGTACATTTTAGATGATAAGCATTTAACTGTAGTTAATCTGATCATCGGGGTAGATTGCTTTATTTTTGTTTAAGCTCTTGCCTTCCCTTGAAGAAAAAGAATGACCTGATGTTAAGAAGTAAATCATAATTTCCTATTATTTGCACTCATTTAATCTATATCAGATTTATTCAGACTGTGAAGTTAATTAAAATCTATAGCATTTTGGAATTTTTAGGCACTTTAGAGATCATCTTGAACAACTTTCTTCACCTCTTTGGGTCTCAATTTACTCATCTATAAGATGAGGCAATACATTTCCTGCCTCATAAGCTTGTTGTAAGGTTTAATAAGACAACACATGCAAATTATTTTACCAAGTGTTTGAAACAGAATACTTAGTTATTGTCAGTTATTTATTATTATTATCTAATTCAGTCTTCCCATTTTCCAAATAAGGACCGGTAGACATATTATAGTTTACACCTACTGGAATGTCTACTGATTATGCCCTCCACTAAAAACTCACTCCCACCAACAAGGGATGGTTTCCCTGACATGACAAACATGGGCATTGGACAAAAGCTGGACCAGTGCTGGTAAATCTGGGGGGAGATACAGTGGCACCACTGCCCGGAGGGTTGTAATTCTCTTTCATCAGGCATGCAATATCTAAATTGTTCAGTCTCAGAACCGCAGATAAGTTCTATGTCACTATTATCAAGTGACTATCGACCAGTAAAACTAAAACATACCATAG